TGTCAAGGTCTTGGGCCGGCTCTTGTGTTGATTTTGCTCAGCCATGCATAATTATGCTTGCAATCCTCCGTACTGCTCCAGGATGTCACTGGCCAAGCCTCAACATATATATACTGACAGTCACTGCCGCAGGATTTTGCAGGATTCAGGCAGTGGTCACCCCTCCACGGACCATATCCAAGAAATAATGGAGGAATTTGGAGGATTGAGGCTATATGCTATTTTCCCATGAGGCCAATTGAAGAATTTTGCAGGATTGAGGCTACATCCTAGCAAAAAGGCCTAGGGAGTTGTGGGAAGCCTGTCAGGCATGCAAGTGGGAAGTCACCAAAAAAAAAATGAAATCTTTCCAAGACTGTGTACAGTGTTTTTCTTTTTTCAATGGCTCACACGGGAAGTAAAACAAAAGGAAATCAGCTGATCCGAGGAAAAGTTGCATGCCTGGACTGTAATGCAAGGTACAAAGTGGCAGAGATTCCGGTATGGAGAAGAGAGAGAAAAAAAAGGCAATGAAATCATCTAAGTGTGACCACCAGACTAGATGCATTAGACATGTTAGAAACCTTCAAGAGTGCAGAGGCATACCAATTCTACGTCAGGTGTGCATTCCCTCCAAGGTTAATGTCTAAATGAGTAATTAAACTAATGCACAGTTTCTTCCGAAGGCCTCCTTTCACAATGGTAATTCCACTCCCAAGTGTGGACACTGCACATGGATAATTCAGTTTCACCATAAGAGGCTTTCGTACGTGAAAAAAAACATAGACAATAAAAATATAAGCATTGAACAAGCCTTGAACCACATAATGAACTATACTGTGGTGGTTTTAATGAAGGGTTTACCTAATAGACATGATGCTGGATTAGCACTCCTGTAAAAGCAGAGTCTTTTTGGTTAGATCCGCATTCCTGGGTGTGAAAAATGATTTCAATTACATAATCCTTAAACATGTTAAAACGGGGTCCGCTCATAAGTCCGACGCCTCATAGGTCCGACGCCTCATAAGTCCGACAAAATCGCATCCCCCAACCAAATAGAGGCCCATAAGTCCGACGCCTCATAGCTCCGACACCTCATAGGTCCGACGCCTCATAGGTCCAACACCTCGTACGCTTCGTTTTTCCAGTGTCGGATTTACATGTATGAGGCGTCGGACTTATGAGGCGTCGGACTTACATGTATGATACCGCCCCGTTAAAACACTGTCTCATCAGTAATGGCCCTTTTTGCATGGGTCTGCCAGCATCATATTATTAATTGAAACAGGGTTGCGTCAAGTGAGAATGCTACAACATGTACGCACTTAAATCCTGATGCTCATTTTGCTGATTATAGCCGTGATCACTCGAGTCGAGTTCGAGTCTGTGTCCAGGTCTAGAGTCACATGGGTCGAGTCACGAGGCACGAGTCAGTTGATTTTAGTTCTAGTCCGAGTTTCATTCACATTTGTAATGGATGTGAATGGACAGAGTTGTAGCGAGCCACTGATTTTTGTGACTCGAGTCGAATCATTTTAAAGAAGTGGCTCGAGTCGAGTTGAGTCATTAGGTCAGAAAGGTCGAGTCGAGTCAATTCCTGTCACAGTGTTTAGGCGAGTCGAGTTGAGTCGAGTCAAATGTTTAGTTTGAGTCAATTCGAGTCAGGAAATTTGAACACTAATACATGTATAACAAAGACAAGAGATAAACTAATTTTGTATCACTAATTAACAAGAAGTGAAACTTTTAATAGGCTTTCTTGTTTGGCTTCGGGTCTAGAATATTTTTCGCTGATCGCGTATTATGAAAACCAATTGCATTATACAGAACTGTTTCTGAATAAATTATTAAAAAATGGGCATGTAGGCCTATCTATTCAATTTTTAAAAGGAGGGCATACATTTAGCAGTGGTTCGATTCCAAGAGCTTAATAAGAAATGGCCCAAAGCCAGTGGTGAAACCACGAATTGGAAAATTTGTATAAAGTCCGGTTCCGGGATAGTACTTTGTGAGTTCCAGAACCACAAGGTGGGAGTCTGTGACATGTTGTATACATGTATGTTTGTACAATGTACACGACAAGCGGCCGCTGTGCAGTACTGTATTCGCATTTTGCAAAGTGACATGAACATAAACTTTGCATTGTAAGTCATTGCAACTATTTCTCGCAAAGTTTGGCTTTTGGGACTCTAGTATTATAAGCCTTCGCTCAAGTTGAGTCGAGTCGAGTCATTTGCTCGCAGTGACTCAAGTTGAGTCCAGTCATTTACCCATAGGGACTCGAGTCGAGTTGAGTCACCAAAAATTGTGATGAGTCATTGACTTGAGTCATTACAACTCTGGGCCATGGACACACATGCATTTAAGGATACATTTAATAACAAACATTATTATTTGCAACAGCATCTGGAGAGTGGTGCAGTTTACATGGTTTACAGTTGGTATGCTTAACGGTCTATGGCCTTGCTTTCAAATTACATGTGCTCTCGGAAAATAAACATCAGAATTATGTTTTATCTGGGTCATTTGGGGTAAAAAACAGTCACGAGTCATTAGGCATCAAGTCTGAGTCGTGACGGTTGATTTCTAGGATTTCATAGGGTCGCATCATGGAGCTATAACTTTTTATAGCTCCATTGTCACATGGAACCTTGTGTACTTGTACCCTTATGATCACTTCATAAGGACAAAAAAATGTTGAACAATTAATATGTACCGGGGTACGTGTATTTAGGACTGCCTCCATCTCCTTTTCTGTCATTCAAAAGGGGGCAATGTTGAACTTAAATGACTAAATGAGACAGTACATGAACACTTTGAGGAAACTATCGGTAGCTGGCTGACTCCTGATGACGGAAACTATGCACGTACATTTTGAATTCAGCCCATTATTACCAGCCACGCTCTTGAGCTACTGGCTAATAACGGTAACAACACGTTCTTTTACATTAGCCTTATTTTTCTCCATTAACCTTTTCAACATTCATTCACGCAGATCACGGGTGGGGTAATTTAGGTCAGTTAATATTGCCAAGCCCTCCTCACATAGCATCAACTGTTCTTAGACTGTGCACGGCAATGATTTCCTTGGAGAAATCATACCTGATACCATAGCCATCACGCATGGCTCATCACGCGGTGTCATGACAAGCGTCCCTGTGGATTTATGGCCCAATCAAAATCCTGCCATAAATCTACCCAGAGAATGATTTGTTCGTGGTTGGTGGTTTAAAAGTCATGTTCCAAGCTACGGCCTTTCCAATTCCATCAGGACGGAAATGAATGTTCTGAGAAATTTGATTCATGAGCAGAATCAGCTTACTGTACGTGCTATGCTTAAACGCCGATTAGATACAATGTATTTGAAGGACAAACACCCAAACACAGAGAGAAGAAATAAATCAACACAGAAAACGACCAACAACCTGCTTGGTGAACAGAATGCATGTAAGTATAGTCAGTGGATCGGACTTGCCAGCCAATTTACAAGTGCACAGAACACCTGTTGATCAGACCAGATTTCACATACAATGTAGCATTGACCAGCCATTACTCTTTTACATTTAACTCAAAATTGCAGGCTTTAGTTAATCTTGACATACAATGTACATGTAATATTTTTAACTCAAAATTGCAGGCTTTAGTTAAGATGTATACATGTACATATAACATTTTTAAGGAAGTTGTTGATTTACTTGTAACGCAAAAATCAAGTCTTTTAAACAATTGCAAAGCACATCCACACAGTCCATGTGCATGTAAGCCCATATTAAACATGTTTAATGTATAGCATATAAGTATTCTGCCACGTAAGTGTAATTCTCAAGCACATGAAGTACATGTACTTGTACCATTTTTTCAGTACTCCTACAAATACTCAGACTTCAATGTCAAAGTGCTCCAAAGCCAATTACAACTTGATCGGTGAGTCACTCCATTTTCAGTCATGACTGTAGGAAATAAAGTACTACAGGTATTTATTTCCTCAAACTACATGTAAAAGAGCATGTGCTGAATCAAATCTACATTCTTTCCAAAGTTGGTACCATGTAATGTACATTGCAGACGTGTCAAATTATCTATTTTTTATTTATTTATTTATGGTAATGGTAATGAAACCAAAGATTCCTCAATTGTGCTCTAGGCACTGAGCTCGAAAGCCTGAAGAAACCTATAGAGAGAAGACAATGAGGAGAAATTACAGTTTTAGAGGTGGGAGGAAAATCCCAGATGAATACTCTGGAGAAAACCAACGGAATCAGCTGGGGACTGAAAACCCAATCCACATGTGGTCCGGGACAGGAATCGAACCCGGGCCACAGAGGTGGAAGGAGAGGACTGTAACCACTGCAGCACCATACTGACTGCCATTAACATTAACTGCAATGGAGTGTTTGAACAGACTGTTTGACACTCAGGCATGCGTGATGTACAGTGTAGTCTGGTGAAGATGCTACAAGTTTGTACACATTCAGATGACATATTTGTCTTCTACCAGTACTTGCTAAACAGTGTGTGTATGCATTGCGGTGTCCCACAATATACAATGTACGTGGATCTCTCATAGAGTAGTCACAATTAGCACCAGTATATGTACAGTTAGACATTCAGCATGAAGTCCACGGTAACTGCTGGTCTGGTGAACTACCAGGAAAAATATTAGTGACCCAGTCGACCCGGCCGCTGCCCAGCCGGTTGGTGTCGCGCGCGCGCCCAGGTAAAAATTCCAGTTGAAACCAATTTACATGTAACTGGATTCAACTGGTTTCAACTGGTGCCAGTTCAACTGGGGAATGGTGACTGGTTTTGACTGGTTTTGAACTGGTATTAAGTGGCTTTGAAACCAGTTAAACCATTATAAACCAGTTCAAACCAGCCACCAATTTTCAGTTAAAATGGAATTTTCACACAGATGGGGATGGTGCAGCTATAAAAATGAAGTATATACTGGTAATAATGCCTGCATCCTCAACTTTGGCCAAGCCCATGCAAACCCAATCTAAATTCTTTGTCATTCTTACCCCTTCTCTCTCTTGCTCTGCAAGTTGGAGGGAGCATCTGAGCTCAAACAACGTGTCGCTTCCAAAGATGGAACCGATGAAAACACCGTCATTCTTCAGTGCCCGAAGGATCTACAATGCATAGCCAAAAAAGACACAAAACAAACTATGTAAATTGTGCATAGTACTGATCTGATGCACCGTGCCCTCTGGAGACATGCACACAATAGGAAACAAAAGATTTTATACGTCTCCTCAGGGCAATTTCTATAGATAAATACATCTCCACAAGGTTTTCACAAAATTATATGGATTCTACTCAAAAACTATGAATTTCCAAGGTGGGTTGATCTGTCGCAAATGGAAGAGTTTTAGAAAAGGGATATTAAGTCCAAATTTCAGCCAAGGAAATTAATTCTGGTTAAAATAAGAGCATTTTGAAACTACACTTTCAAACTCGAAAACTTTACTACACAAGAACAAAGAAATGTCTCCACAAGGATACAAATTTCAGTATGGGTGCACTCCATACATAGTGTACATATTTTGGGTTGTTTAAAACAAAGAGATTTATTGGAGCGGGCTTTGAACCTGCGACATCCAGATTGCCGTTCCAGCACTCTACCAACTTCATGTAAGCTTGTACATGTACGGTACATACCGTATCCATATGCAGTCCTCATAATGTTGGGGGTTCCCCATTTTGTTAATGTCTTTGTTCGTGGGGGACTAGTCAGAAGACATTAACCCACGTGCCATGAAGCCCAAAGTCACGATGCTACCGGTAGCAACATTTATGCTGCAAAACTGGGAAATGGTAAATGGGGATCACTCGGAGAGGATACAGATTTTCATTACAAATTTTCAAATGAATCACAGAAGGAAACATGACTAGGCGCGTAATAATTTTAAAGTTCAACAAAGAATTTTGGGTTGTGTTAAGATGGTCTTTCAAGACTCTATTTCTATTTTAAAATCTGAGAGCACTTATGGACCGTATGTAAAGAAATTGGTCAACGTGACTTTTTCCCTCGAGGCGTTTTGCAGTCAACTCGCAAAAGAACACTGGTTTAGTCACCACGATCATTGCATGGTGGTGCGATGACTGCATTGAAGAGAAAGTACTGCCTCTATATTTAAAGCTAGATAAGAAATGATGCATATTAAGGATGTACTTGTACATACTGTAAGTTGGGTTTTGAGCTTCACCTGCACAAACAGGCAATTAACAGACATGTATGTTTTTTCACCATTTTACCCTGATTTGATAAGGGAATAAATGTGTGCTCGAGAGGTTTTAATCACTCTGTTTAAGACTGCTTAGAGTCTGGGTGCTGATAATTACCCGAGCCGGAGGCGAGGGTAATTATCAGCACCCAGACTCTAAGCGGTCTTAAACAGAGTGATTAATACCGACCGAGCACACATTTATTCCCATTCATAAATACCTTTTCGGTCAAAAAAATATAATATTTCGGTAAAAAAATCCAGAGTTGTAACGAGTCACTGATTTTTGTGACTCGAGTCGAGTCGAGTCATTTTAAAGAAGTGACTCGAGTCGAGTCGAGTCATTAGGTCAACAAGGTCGAGTCGAGTCGAGTCGAGTCACAGTATGTGGTCGAGTCGAGTCGAGTCGAGTCAAGTATTTAGCTCGAGTCAATTCGAGTCACAAATATTTGAACACTATATAATAAATTACAATAAAAAGCAACAAACACAAGAGAGAAAGAATACAAGGCACCAGTCTATTACAAAAATCCAAAGACATAAAGTATGCTGTATGGTACCCAACCAACAGTTTCCATTGCTAGCACGTCACAGATAAGAAGATGTGAAACTTCGGTCTTATAACTGTTTTGGCTTCGGGTCTAGATTTTGCTGATCGTTGACAACGTCAAAACCTAATTACATTATACAAAACTGTTTCTGATTACTTAAAGGTGGTCCCATCCGTATCCATTTTTTTTTTTTGTGAAATCGGGACATAAATTTAGCCAGCGTTCCACCAAGAGCTTTATAAGAAATCGCCCGAAACCAATGATGAAACCACGGATTGAGAAATGCGTTTTAAGTCTGGTTCCGGGTTTAGCATTACATGCTATAGAACCACAAGGTGGGAGTCCGCGACACGGTGTATGTTTGTTGTATCATTATGGAGGAAGGAAAACAGACGGCCGCTGCATATGAACGTACATAAAACGCGAACATAACGTGACGTGAACAAAAACTGGCAACGCGAACGGCGCGGCGTAAGTCATTGCAATGATATTTTTTGCAAGTAAGTTTTGCTTTTATTTTTGGGACTCGAGTCTTATTAGCCTTCCTCGAGTCAAGTCGAGTCATTCTGATGAGGGACTCGAGTCGAGTCGAGTCATTTGCTCGCAGTGACTCGAGTCGAGTCGAGTCATTTACCTGTCAGGACTCGAGTCGAGTCGAGTCACCAAAAAATGTGACTCGAGTCGGACTCGAGTCGAGTCATTGACTCGAGTCATTACAACTCTGAAAAAATCCCACTTTTGTTCAACAAGTTCACTTCATGCTTTTTGAAACATCCCTCTAGCTAAATAATGGAGTGTTCAGCTGGCGATTAAGATGTAAACAACCCTTTTATGGAGATTGACGCGCGCGTGGCACGCTCTGTGCGATGTCGCGCAGAACGCACCTGGGGCGTTGCGTTTTGAATTTAGAACTATAAAATTCTGACTCACTGGTAGTGTTGCACATGCCTACGTGAGGACCGTGAACGTTCAACCAATAAAGCGGCAAGAGGCACTGGATTTTTAGGAGTCCACATTTTATGTGACACTGGAAAAGTGTTTAAGACCAGCTAGCCATGTCTTTATCATCCGTTTAAGACCGGCCATGTGACGGGCTCTCGACCAATAGGAATGGCTAAACTGTCTGAGGTATTTATGAATAATAAATAAATTAATACCTCTTTCACACAACAAATTCTCTAGATTATCTTGCGGTTGACTGCAAGTTTAAACCAAGCAGTTGTCCTGGGTTTTCCAACCTGGGTAAGAACCAAAGAAATCGGCCATCACCGCACATGAAGGGTTGGTTGATCGGACTGATCATTATCTCAAAACCAAACCCAAGGAAATGTCCAGGTTATGCATGTATGTAAGCAGTGTGTATGTTTGTAAGCAAAATGCAAAAACTACTGCGGTAAGTGCTACGCTGAACTTTTGTTGATTGAGTTGCTGAGACACGTTTATCCTTCAAGTCCCATGAGGTGTTTGTCCACACAAACGTATACAAGCCACTTCATGTATTTAAATTGCATACAGTTGAAAGTGTTGATTTAAGATTTTAATAAAAGTCGCTATGCATTACATTGTATGTCTCAATCATCTTTCTTCGGGACAGACAAAAGCAAATCGTTCAACAGACTGCTAACCCACGGGGAATTGAGCGGGTTACTTTCAGAATGATTGGCTCATGTATGTTTTGCTGTCCCCTGAGCCTGTTTCCATCAAACCATGGAGCTATTCGTGATCAAACACATCTCATACATGTACATCTCAAGTTAGCAAGGCCAAAATGAAGGCTATTCATTTAAAGTCATGTTTAAAACAATCACACATCGCCTCCAGCCACAATCCTCCTGTATCATATTATGTAAATTTCAGCTGCTGAGAAATTGCAAACACTCCTTTCTGAGAAATCATGATGTTTTAACATGCAGTTACAAAACAAAGCCACAGCCAAAAAGTTCGGTCAGATGTATAGCTCCTTGGTTTGTTGAAGTCTGCCAGGTTTGGAAAAATATCAGCAGGCAGCTCTTTGTCTTTTGAACTAACGTTTAAACACATTCTTCCATCAACTTTTGTAAGTTTTACTGCACCTGGGATGTATCAAAGACAAAAATTCAAAAACTACATTTTTCATGTTTTTGTATACTGTACATACACATGTACATTTAAATGTGTATCAAACAGAGTTTGGAAAGAATGTTGTATCCTGACGCCTCTTTATTTTATCGTGTATTATCTCATGAAGGTCAGTCAGTGCAAAAATGTTGAAAAGACATGAATCTGGGACTGAGAAACTTTCCAATTTTGTTAAATAAATGCATGCAACTCTCCATAGACTTTGTACACAACCAAAGAAGTGGTACATTGTAGCGTCTGGATACTACGTTCGTTCCCAGAGTTCCCCCAAAAATAGTAATAATAATAATATGCATGCTCCAAAACTTTTGTTAAGTTAAAAAATTAAAAGCACTTTCACAGGCAACTTCTGAAATTCTTGATTGAGATGGCGGAAAAGGAAATTCCAATCAAATTGCAGACAAATCGTTAGGAGCTGTCATGTTAGTGTTTCATCATAGCCAATTGTGGATGCATTAAGAAATCTTAGCTTCCATCATCGCAAGGTCAATGACACCACAGGGAGCGCATCGATTAGTTCTACCTGGCTTATTCTCTGATTCCCTGGGCAACACGAGAAAAACCAATAACTGCATCAAGAACATCACCGAGTGACAATTAAACCCCAAATGACAATGGCAGCTGCTGATTAAGACCCCTTCATGGTATCAAGCAAGAAATCCAATTGGCGTTTGAAGTGCAAAGCCCTCATCACATTGCGAATCCAAACTCGGAATTGGCAAAGATTGCAGATATCTGTGATTGCAGTTGGTTATGATATAGCTAGCTCAAGGCTGTTTCATCATCCAAGCTTGACATTTGTTTCCAACAATATTTCAGGCCTTTGACACAGTGCCCCTCTTCATCAATATAGTTTTTTTTATTAGGTTTTGAAAATCAACTTTTAGATGTTTTTAAGGCTGTCCATGTGCCAAAATATACAACATAGGCATTTACAAATGTATGTATCTATAGGGTTGTTTTATGCAGAAACTGTCAAATTTTCAGCATGGGGAAGCAGAAATATAGCAAATTGCTTACCTGAAGTTCTCCACACTATACAGTTACCAATTTCATGCAAACTGCAAAATTCTGACACACTTGTAAAACAATCTTAGATATGTTAGAGAAGTAGGCCTACATTTGTACTTGACATTGTTATTTTGGAAATTTATGATACCTGTATAAACTATCAAGACTATGGGTCAAAATTGATTCTTAATATTTTTTTTGTTAACTTTTTGAAATGTATGCCAG